AAAAACCGAAATAAAGCATACATGCACAGTTTCGGTTGAAACCGAAATAATGTCTAAATGCACAGTTTCCATATGCGCAATTTCGGTGCCCCATAGCAGCTATTTTGGAGATCACCACATCTCCTCATCAGACTTCTTTTTTACTAGACTTGCAGCAGGGATCGAATCCGCGTCATCGATGTGCAAAGTCAGAAGCGCTAACCACTGACCTATGCACACCCCGTAAGCTTTTGTTGCTAATCCATTTCCTCATTCAACCCACTACTATCAAGTGCAACTGATTCGCCGCTATTAAAGCTTGACAGCGTGGTTGTTATTGTTAATTCCATACAATCAATTGAGAAAAAACTCATTCGGTTATCACAATAGTGAAGGTGATAAAAGAAAATTAATTAAAATTAATTAAGTAAAAAATAGCTATGAACACTTTTCGATAGGCAAGTTATCATAGGCATATTTGTTTATAAATTATATTTGATAAAAAAATATGTCTCATCGAGTTATCAGATCGCTGAAGGTCGATCTACCACGGTCTCCTCTACTATATGTACTTTAAATAAATTGTGAATCTGCGAAAATATCTTTCCAGCATATGAATATACTTCTTAACTTTTTCCCGAAAATTTACAAACAGGCTCGAAATTATGCCAGTAACTTTCAAATATTGTCGCTTGAATGAAAAATTTCCGTAAGCGTCATTTTGACAGTTTTTAGTTAAAGATGCAGTTATATATTTTAAAATAAGATATCTTCTTTAGTTTCCGAGTAATTGACTAAAATGTTTTCGGTAATTTGGTACAAATTACGTTAGTAATTCTGTCGTACTAAGCTAATCAAGATCTTAAAAATAGCGTCATCTGTTTTTAAATACCTGCTTTAGTTTCCGACATATTCAGCCTTATCATGAGTTTCATTTTCTCGAACTGGCTCACCTTTTCACTTTTCGTTTTCGCGTATTCACTACCNACGTTAGTAATTCTGTCGTACTAAGCTAATCAAGATCTTAAAAATAGCGTCATCTGTTTTTAAATACCTGCTTTAGTTTCCGACATATTCAGCCTTATCATGAGTTTCATTTTCTCGAACTGGCTCACCTTTTCACTTTTCGTTTTCGCGTATTCACTACCGGTGGGTGAAAAAAATTCTGGCGAAACTCACGATTAGGCTGATTAGTAAAAAGCATCATTAATTAATAAAAAAAATTGAGCTTGTATATTTATCTCTCTCTAACGCATTAATTCTATATACTTCAGGACCAATGCCCGACGCAGTTATGTATGTATTTAATAACGGCTCTATGACAACATATTCAAGAAATTTATTCGTAGATTTTTACTTCATTTTTAATAAAAAAAACTACATATTTCACTTAAGCTTAACCAACTTTCAGTTGCTCGGAGCTAATTTTGGAACGCTTCATGAAATATTTTCATAGACGGTAAATGCAACCCTGGGTGCATCATTAATGAGCTCAAAACCAAAACCAATAATTAAGCCTTTTGAAATGGCCTTTTGAAACGGCAATGGAATTTCGACATTATTCACGGAATTGTGAATATAAGCTGCCTTCCATTTGGCATATTTGCGGTTTAAACCTTCAGAAAGTTACAAAAAAAACACATTTTCTATTTTTATTTATTTTATATTTTTGAAATCAAAATACTCCACCTTCTTCACCAAAAAATTTCTTTACACCATTTTGCGCGTTGATCTTATCTTCATGGTTACCGAAATCACGAACCTCAACGTAGTGATTAGCCTCCTTGCGCCAGCCACCGGTTGGTGTTGAGCTTAAATGGCCACAGGAAGTTGGAGGCTTTCTTGAAGTGGGATCCAACAGTGAATATTTCGTGCGCAAAACAATCAACGCACTGAATATCGTGCATTTTGCGCAATTTGCGTTCGATCACAAACTGATTTAAGATTGGGATAACCCCATGTGATATAGGGTTCGGCAATGCGTAGTATATTAATGGTTCAATTTGATGAACGAACCGTGGTTAATGTGACGAAAACGGAACAACAGTAACACTTTACGCACTTTTGGTGCAACTTTGTTGATACCGCGGATACAGATCACAAAAGCCAATTTGTCTTCTGCAGGCACGTAGAATGGGCCGCGTTTCTTTGCCAGACGGCGGAACTTATTCTCACGGCGTCCATCACGGAGATATTTTGCTTGATATTTCTCAGCATGCACCATGCAGAGCGCTTTAGTTTAAGCTTGATCAGGGTAGCACGTTTGCTGACCTGCTTCTTGCTGAACTTTAGCTGCGACTCGGAGACAGCAGGCAGCTTCCTGGAAGGTTATTTGCCCTTTGCTTCGGGCTTCTTACCGGCAGTGGTGGCAGTCATCTTAACTTGTAACTTAGCACGATGAGAAGGCGCAAAAAAGTTCGCAAAATGTTTGGAGCACATCTTAAATAACGCCGCTCGATGTATAACATTTCTATTAAACACAATTTCATTTAATTAAATACTTTTTTAATACATAGATATGCTGCAACCAGGCACTTACTTTCCCAAATTCCATCTTGCTTATCGGCATAATTTTCCAAATGTGCCTGCGCTGCTACTTCATACTAATAACTTCATTTTCCAACTGGGCCTTCTTTGTTGCCTCAACATATCCTCCTAAAAAGACATAAAATTTACATTAAACAATAGAAATCGCAAAAATTAGCAAATAAAATACTCCCTTCATTTTGTTTTGTTGTCAAATTTCTGAGAAATGTGAATTCACCACGATGCAATACAGAAAGAACAAGGATGAGGGATATAATTTTAAATAAAACTATTATTCAGTGGCAACGCACAGAGCGTCCCGAGTAGCAAAATTAATTTGTATCTTCTCTATATATATAAAAATAGCCGTTTTCGTTGTTCGGAGTTAACTCAAAAACTACTTCATAGATTTAAGTAAAATTTTCAGATGTTATACCCTGCATATATGGTCCTATTATAGGCTACCAGAAAACTCGCCTGGTGTCGCTGGGGTCGAGTTATTTATAAAAGTCCTGTTTATGAACCGATTTCGTTCAACTTTAAAACGTGTGCTGCCTCCATGATGAGAAATACGTATGCGAAAAATAAACCCGCTAGGTCGCGCTGGAGTCGAGTTACTAACTGTGGTGTAGTGGTAAGCAGTGCGCACTTTCACTCCGCAGCTCCTGGGTTCAAGCCCTGGTCAAAGCAACATCGCAAAAAAATTTAGAAAAACGGTTTTTTCTTAACAGCGGTCGCCCCTCGGGGAGGATGGTTCCGTGCGCAGAAGTGGAAAACTTTTGACTGCCATTCACCTGGGAGTGGCCAGAAGCGATTCTTGTGCGTACGGTTCAAATCGCAGCTCACAACGTCCGGATATTTATATCCACGTATCCTCTGGGTAGCAACCAAACACCCGTTTGGGAGCGAGCTAAAGTGAGAAGGCGTAAAACTTCGCGTGCGCTGGGTTTGGGTCCCGCCACGTTAAAACCCCGCCCAATGAAAAGAAGCAAACAGCCTCGGATGAGACCCCCTTTTTCTGATGACGACCACGGCAAACGTATAAAGGACTATGATTTAAGGGTATGCACCTGGAATATCCGGACCCTTAATGGGGAAGGTGCCTCTGCCCGGCTGGTTGATGTCCTCGGGAAGACAAAGGCTGACATCACCGCCATCCAAGAAATGCGATGGACGGGGCAAGGTAAAGTAAGCGTGAAGCCTTGCGACGTCTACTACAGTTGCCACGTAAAGGAGCGCAAATTCGGTGTTGGATTCGTGGTAGGAGAGAGACTCCGTCGCCGAGTACTGGCGTTCACCCCGGTGGACGAACGTCTAGCCACAATCCGCATCAAAGCTAGATTCTTCAACATCTCGCTCATCTGCGCCCATGCCCCGACGGAAGAGAAGGATGAGGCGTCCAAGGATCTCTTCTATGAGCGCTTGGAACGTACATATGAGCGCTGCCCCCGACACGATGTCAAAATCGTGCTTGGCGATTTTAATGCCAAGGTGGGCAAGGAAGGGATCTTTGGCGCCACTGTCGGAAAATTCAGCCTCCACGACGAAACGTCCGATAACGGACTGAGGCTGATCGACTTCGCCGGGGCCCGAAATATGGTAATATGTAGTACTAGGTTCCAGCATAAGAACATCCACCAAGCTACATGGCTGTCTCCAGATCGAAAAACGAGAAACCAAATCGATCATGTTGTGATAGACGGAAGGCATGCTTCAAGCGTTTTGGACGTACGTACACTCCGAGGGCCAAACATCGACTCGGACCACTATCTTGTTGTAGCCAAGATACGCACCCGCCTCTGTGCAGCAAAAAATGTGCGCCCAACAATGCAAGGAAAGCTTAACGTCGAAAAGCTGCAATCACAACAGACGGCCAATTTATTCGCCACTCGACTCACACACCTGCTCTCTGAGAGCACTCTTCAACAATCCGACGTACGCGAGCAGTGGAACCACATTTCCCGATCATTAAGTACCGCCGCCGAAGAAGTAGTTGGATTTCAGCGAGCCCGAAAGAACAACTGGTACGATGAGGAATGTCAAGAAGCCGCAGAGAAAAAAGATGCCGCCTACAGGGCCACGCTGCGATCGGGCGCAACGCGAGCCATGTGGGACCGTTATAGGGAACTGAAGAAGGAAGCGAGACGTATTTGCCGCAATAAGAAGAGAGAGGCCGAAATACGTGAGTGCGAAGAGCTTGAGATGCTGGCCGACAGGAAGAACGCCCGAAAATTCTACCAGAGGGTTAGGCGACTTACGGAAGGTTTCAAGACCGGGGCGAACTCCTGTAAGAACAACAATGGCGACCTAGTGACCGATGTCCAGAATATACTTAAATTGTGGAGGGAACACTTTTATAACCTACTGAATGGTAGCAGCGCTGAAAGTAGTGAGGAAGACGAACCCGAGTCCCCAGTCGATGATGATGGAGTAGCTGTCCCACCGCCTGACTATGACGAGGTACGAATAGCGATTACGCGGCTGAAAAACAACAAAGCTGCTGGAGCTGACGGCCTGCCAGCCGAGCTATTCAAGTACGGCGGCGAGGAGCTGATGAGGTGCATGCATCAGCTCGTATGCAGAATATGGTCAGATGAACGCATGCCCGACGACTGGAATTTAAGTGTGCTCTGCCCAATCCACAAGAAAGGCGACCCCGCCATACGCGCCAACTACCGCGGAATTAGCCTTCTAAGCATAGGTTACAAGGTCTTATCGAGCGTATTGTGCGAAAGACTGAAGCCCACCGTCAACGAGCTGATTGGACCTTATCAGTGTGGCTTTAGGCCTGGAAAATCCACCATAGATCAGGTATTCACAATACGCCAAATCTTGGAAAAGACCCGCGAGAATAGGATCGACACACACCATCTATTTGTCGATTTCAAAGCCGCTTTCGACAGCACGAAGAGAAGTTGCCTTTATGCCGCGATGTCTGAATTTGGTATCCCCGCGAAACTAATACGGCTGTGTAAAATGACGTTGAGCAATACCACCAGCTCCGTCAGAATAGGGAAGGACCTCTCCGAGCCGTTTGATACCAAACGAGGTTTCAGACAAGGGGACTCCCTTTCGTGTGATTTCTTTAATCTTATGTTGGAGAAGATAATAAGAGCCGCAGAACTGAACCGCTCAGGCACAATACTTTATAAGAGCGTACAATTGCTGGCGTATGCCGACGACATCGATATTATCGGTAAAAACAAGGGCTACGTCTGTTCTGCCTTCTCGGGATTGGATAGAGAAGCAAAGCGAATGGGTCTGGTGGTGAACGAGGACAAAACGAAGTATCTCCTGTCAGCACACAAACAGTCAGAGCATACGCGTCTTGGCACCCACGTCACTGTTGACAGTTACAAGTTTGAAAAAGTAGACGACTTCGTTTATTTGGGAACCAGCATTAACACCAATAATAATGTCAGCCTTGAAATCCAACGGAGAATCACTCTTGCCAACAAGTGCTACTTTGGGCTGAGTAGGCAATTGAGAAGTAAAGTCCTCTCTCGTCGTACAAAGATCACACTCTATAAGTCACTCATCATGCCTGTGCTGGTGTATGGCGCGGAAGCATGGACAATGAAAGCATCTGATGAGGCGGCTCTTGGAGTTTTCGAGAGAAAGATTCTGCGAAAGATTTACGGACCTTTACGCGTTGGTGATGGCGAATATCGCAGACGATTTAACGATGAGCTGTATGAGCTTTACAACGATATAGACATAGTGCAGCGAATTAAAATTCAGCGGCTCCGCTGGCTTGGCCATGTCGTTCGGATGGACAGAAACGCTCCTGCTCTGAAAATATTCAACGCGGGCCGCGATGCTGGTAACAGAGGAAGAGGAAGGCCTCCTCTGCGTTGGAAAGACCAGGTGGAGAAGGACTTGGCTTCACTTGGCATTTTCAATTGGCGTCAGTTAGCACAGAAGAGAAATGACTGGCGTGCTGTTTTGGACTCGGCCAAAATCGCTTAGGCGGTTACAGCGCCAAATAAGAAGAAGAAGAAGGTCGCCCCTCGGCAGGCAATGGCAAACCTCTGAGTGTATTTCTGCCATGTAAAACAGCTTCTCATAAAAATACAATCGCCGTTCGGAGTCGGCGTAAAACTGTAGGTCCCTCCACTTTGTGTGACTGCATCAAGGCGCACGCCACATATCGGAGGAGAAGCTCGGCTAAACACTAACATATGTGTAAGCGCCAATCTATTATTATATTATTTATGAACCGAATTCTTTTAAATTCAAAATGTAAGCTACCAACATGATGGAAAATACGTTTACCAAAAATAGACCCGCTAGGTGGCTTTATGAACCGATTTCGTTCAAATTGAAATTATAAGCTACCTGCATGATGAACAAAGCATTTGCGAAAAGCGGACCCGAAAAAAGCCCTTTTTATAAACCGATTTTGTTAATGCAAATTCGAAACGTTTATTATGTACTTTTATGATGATTTTTTTTTTTTTCATTTGAAAAATATAACATAACATAAACGCTATTTTTGTATTGGCCAACGCAAAAGATCTTATTAGGCGCTGCGAAGAAAGCAGGCATTGGCTAGTCAAATATAACATTAAACGGTGGTTCTAATACAATTTTTAATATTATTAATCAGGTTACTTACATTATATGGTATTTCTTTCAAAAATTAATGCACTATATGCATATTTTTTTTAATATTTCTTAAGTTTCTTTCATTGGTGCTGAAAAGCAACAATGCGTGTAAAAAATTGTGTGCTACCTAAAATTTCACCTCTGGAAACTGTATCCCTATAAAGGACTTCCCCACAGTTTTTTTAATGAATATATCTACTAAGATTTCGTCGACAAGTGGTGTATTTGCTCGACCACAACTCGAAATTTTTAGTGACAATTACACAGAAAATGCGCCTTCTCATTCGTATACGTTCTCTGCTGATATTGTGGCCTAGAAGTAGCAGTCACTTTAAGCGATTTTTAAATCACAGTGATAAAATCACCGGTAGTGAAATATGGTTCATCACTAGTCGCTGATTTCAAATCCGATGTCTAATTTGCAAAACTCAAAAGTGGGGATCCAATATGGCAACCAAATTTTATAATTTTTACCTTTTCATCTCAAACTCAAATATAGGCGGGTCACTGACTTCGAATCTTGCTTTAGATTTTAAAATTTCAAGATGGCGGCTCCAATACTTATGACAACCAAATTTTACAATTTTAACCACTTCATCTTAAATTCATACATTTGAGGTCACTGATCTTGAATATGGTTTTATGTTTTTGAAATTCAAATAGAGGATCCAATATGGCGACTAAATTTTATAATTTTTACCATTTCACCTTAAACTCATACATGGGAGGAGTTTTTTAGGTCACTGCGTTTAAAACATTGCAATAATCAGAAAATTAAGTAATTATAAATAAATAGGCAAACACAACAGATATTTCTTTATTAAAAATAAAAATTATTTAATATGTACAAACAAATACTACATGAAAAAATTTTCATTTTCATGAAGGTCGTAAGCATCTACATTTGTTTCCGACTCAGAGGCTGAGCTATTGTCAACACCTTCCAGTTCTTCCAGTTCGTTACAATATCTTTAGTTGCGTTAAAAAATTCCAGTCTTGTTGAATCCTCTTTAGTCGAAATACTGAACCCTAAAAATCAAAATTTTCTAGAGTGGTTGAATTACGTTAATGTTTTAAATAAAACTTATATCTTAAATAAATTCAACTAAAAATCATATTCTAACATTTAGTTTCGTAGCAAACCAACCAGCTTACTAGTCGGTCGATTTTCTGCTTGCGTTCACCTTGTGAAAAAGTGTTAAAATTTACGATTGAAGCGACTCTCATAACCTTCTCCTAATCTTTAGATATACATCAATCTAATAAAAGAGCAAAGACTCAAATATACAACAATACATAACTAAACCATCATGCACGAACCACCTGATCTCAAAGGCGGTAAACAAACATCGCCTCATATGTTTTTCGAAATAGACAACAATATAAACCTCTCCAATAAATCACCCGGTCCTAAACACTTGTTAGTTAAAAGAATTGACAGTAACGAAAATCTCTCTAGAGTCTCACCCTTTCTCATCAAAAGAGTGATTGACTGTGTTTGTGGGGAAATTGAAACTTGTGAAAAAAACAAAAGGTGGTGTTTTACTCTTAAAAACCAAAACGTATGCTCAAGCTAACAAATTAGTGAAGTTAATATCATTTACACCAACAATAAAAGTCGAAGTTAAAGAAAATGAATATCTTAACTATTCTAAAGGTGTCATTTATAATAAAGATTTAAGAGATATATCAGAAGAAGAGATACTCAACGAACTTAACAGCCAAAATGTAACAGCTGTTAAAAAAATCCTTAAAAAAAACAAAACGAAATGTTAGTCGAAACCGGCCTTTTAATACTTACATTCTCTGCCCCTGAACTACCTGAATCAATCTTTGTTGGATATCAAAAAACATACATACGTCCATATATTCCCCTTCCCTTGCGCTGCAAGAACTGCCACCGTTTTGGACACCCTACAAAATTTTGTCAAAACATGCTCAAACTGTTCTGCCCTTGCACATGTGAATAAAGAGCTCCAAGAGAAATGTTTAAGAGAGCCGGTATGTAATAACTGCTTAACTACACCAAACGAAGACTTTTCTCACTCCACGTACAACAAAACTTTCCCTATCTTTGTAATGCCGAAAGAAGTACAAGCCATTAAAACTCTCCAAAAACTAAGCCACAAAAAAACAGGACAAATATACAGAGAGAGGCACCCAGACCAAGCTTACAGTTACACCATGCATACGAAAGTTTCATACAGTGGACTTGAACCAACATCAGTATCTCAACAAATTACCTCACAAGACTCACAGAGAAGAGTAGAGGAAGGAACAACAGAAACGACAAATACACAAGAATCAACGACAAACGTCCAACACCAAAGCAATACCAACCACATTTCCGCAGCCCAGCTTAAAATATACCCGAAGAACACATCCAACCGTCTGAAAAGGCAACTGAAAGCTAAGGCAAAGAACTCAAATAAACTTACAACGAAAACCAACACCAATCAAAGCGACTCGGACGACTCCAATTCTTCTCTAATGGTGGAGTAAACTTACTCCATAAACTTTTCAAGTGGACACTAGTTATTAAACATATAAGCTTAATACATTATTTCAATATACATTTAATTAAACTCCTTTATGCTTAAGATATTACAATGGAATATAAACGGTTACTTAAATAACTATCTAGGACACCAAACACTTATAACAACCCACCGCACTCAAGTAATCTCCTTTCAAGAAACCCACCTAACCTCCCCCACAAATATCCCCATTCCCCCAAACTATAAAATCTATAACTTCAACTCTCACGGAGTAGCCCTCCTAGTCAACAATAGAGTTCAACACTCCCAAATCGATCTGAATACGGACTTCGAAGTTGTCGGTGTCAAAATTAGCTCTAAACAAACAATTACCATACTATCAGCGTACATTCCTCCAAATAAACGTTTTGGCACCAACAACCTCGATAATGTATTTTCACCTATCGAACAACCCTGTATAAACAAGGGAGATTTCAACTCCTGGCACTCTGACTGGGGCTCATGTAGCGTCAGCGTTCTGTTTAGTGTAAGCGTGTACCCTGCAAGACGGGTACTCGTTAGCGAACGTGTGTTGAGCTAGTTACCTTGACTTTGTTTGGATGTTATTTTGCAGGTTACTTTTGTTCTGGCTGTGGGAAAAAAATAACATACTTCCCCGCCTTTCTACACGTATGTGTGATGCTCTTATTCACTCTATCCCATTGCTTTTGACCTTGCTTCTGTTGCTCTTATGCTAACGGGAATCTTAATTACTGCAGCTGTTACCCTATTGTTAGCAGAACCCTGTTATGCTAGTTACCATGCAGGTTACCCGCTGGTTATCTCAGACCGTTCTGCCTGTTACCTGGCCGTTAGCAAGGGGTTACCGTCTTGGTTACCTTTTTGTTACCTCGACCTGCTGCGTCGGTTACCCGAGCGGTTACCTTCTTGTTACTCTGTTCATTTCAACCAGTTACTTTTTTTTTAAATCCTTTGTAAATAAAAACCAAAATTCTATTTTAATATAATTTTTAATTTAAAAATAAATAGATATACAAATAAAGATATACAATAAAAATTGTTTCAAAAATATTGTTATTGCGTCTTCTATGCCGAAAACATTGATGAAATTCTTGGTCACTTTGAATCAAGTCGTATGGTGGAAAAGATTTATCCGTACGCATGTGGCCAACCTATAAAAAGATAAAAATTAATTTACCTTTCTTTACTTTCTTATTACATTAAATTAAATTAAAAATGTTATTTTATATATCGCATGTTTAATAATATACAGGATTATTTCAAGATTTTAATTTTGTGGGAAAACGCAATCAAAGTTTTTCCAATTCATACAGTTGGTATACCAAAAGATAGATGGAAAGACACATGTCTTCGCCATTTTTGGAAAGTTTAGTAATCTGTTAGGCTGATCATATTCTCCTAATAATATTAATAATAGATTCCCGCTTACATATGTACTAGCAGACCCGGCGAACCTCGTCCCGCCCAAAATTTTTATATATTTTATTGAAACTTTTTGGTCCAACATTTTTACCAACAATTCACATTTATGATTTCATTGGCACATTTGTCTGCTAAGATTAAGGTTTGGTGGTCATTTTCCGCTTTAAATAACCTAAGGAAAGTTTTATATCCGTTCTTGAAATTCTCCAGTTGTGCGGAATTTCATAGCACGGTTATTCGCAAAGCGAAATAAATTTTTTCCTCTTCACTCCCTGGCGACAACAAGGACCCGGTTCTATAGTGAATGTCCTAGAAGCTTTACAGTATAGTAGGTGGCAATTTCAAAATGGGTGCGAATCATTGTTCTACAGAAATGCAATATACATATACTTATTTCAGACGAAATACCTTAAAAGTTTGAACGCATAATAATAAAATATTGGAAAATCACATCCATTGGGCCAATTGCAACGCAGGACCGTCGATATACTCAATGGTGCAACAGGTCGATTTAATCTGACCCTCACGGCCCCTTTTCTCACTTGGCTATTTTTAGTAATAGCTCGACTTCAGCACCACTTGGCAGCACGTTTTTGCAATAGTATTGCATACATACTTAAAACATTAGCCAAATCGGATCAAAAGTAAGATTTTTAGTAATAACTCAACTACAGCGCCAACTGTCGGATTAAATTGTGAAACTAAACCATCCAGAGACCCACTCTAATACACAAAAAGTTTCGTTAAAATCCGTACAACCATTTAGGAGGATTTCACTCACAAACACACCTACAGAAGAATAAAAAAATTCTTTCAAAGATAGCTAAAGGTCGGTAGGTTTGTAGGCCTCACACCCCTTTTCAAATAGCCCAAATTTTCTCCATGAGTATGGGCTTGATATATATATACATATCTCCATACGAAGTTCCAGTACTGTACCATGAATACTTTCAGACATATGCAGTATAAAAATTCGATTTATATGGGAGGAGCCACGCCCCCCTTTCCAACAGCTGCCCTCTTTCTTCATGAGTATGCGTTGATTTCGTATATCTCCATACCAAGTTCCAGAACTCTACCATGAACACTTCCAAAGATAGGCAGTATGAAAAATTCGGTTGTATGGAAGATGCCACGCCCCCTTTTCCAATAGTTCCAATTTTTCTCCAAGAGTATGCGATTTATTTCGTACATCTCCACACAAAACTCTAGAACTCTACCAAAAAATTTCCAGAGATAAGCAGTATGAAAAATTCGGTTTAATGGGAGATGTCACACCCCTTTTACAATAGCTAAAATTTTTCTCCAAGGGTATGCGATTGATTTCGTATATCTCCATACCAATTTCCAAAACTCTACCATGCACACTTTCAGAGATATGTAGCATGAGAAATTCGGTTTGTATGGGAAGTGCCACGCCCCCTTTACATATAGATTTTTTTCAGCCTAAAACCATCCTTGGGACACGTGCGCAGGTGGCAGTTTCAAAAAAATCGGTTCAGCCGCTCTCGAGCCTTGCGAAAACTAACAAACGGCTTTCTAAATATAAATTAGTTGAGATATATTCTATATTATAATTAT